TCGAACCTCCCTTTGTGACCATTTCTCGTAAGCGACCACTTCTCGTTGGCGACCACTTTTTCAAAATACCAAAAGTTTCTAAGTCAAATCACCATAAATAGAATCTCTCGACAGCGACCACCTCTAGGAAGCGAGTACTTCTAGAGATGCTTGTTTACAAGTTTCAATTGTTTTCTAATAATAATAATAACAATAATAATAATAATAATAATGGAGGATTTGTAAAGTGCTATATCAATTTGCCCATGGCGCTTTACAACAAGTTGAAGTGAACTTTGGCCTTTCTGCATTGAGTATACAATGTTTTGAAGCCATTTGTGAGATACAAAACAATCACCACATGTACAGATACTAGGATTTTCTCCCTGAATGAGCCACTAAAAGTTACTACTATATGTTGACACGTAGGTTTCGATAAGCGCTGGCAAAAGGGTCCGGTCACCATGTGCAAATTGATTACTTAAAACATAGACCCTCCTGTGGCCTGACCTTAGGTAAGTGACCACCTCCTGGAAGCGACCACCCAGACTAGACATTACGGGTGTGCGCTTCCGGGAGGTTTGACTGTATTTACATATTAAATGTTTCTTCTTGCAAATTTGAGATGCTGTCTTTCCTCGTTTTCAGATCTCAAAAGACAGAGTCATCAAAATTGCAGACTTCGGTTGGGCGAAGTCTGAAAGCTTGATCACGGGTACCCAATGCGGGACCTTGCGTTACATGGCGCCGGAAGTAAGAGAACGCATCCCGTACGGCTCAAAAGTGGACATGTACAGCTTTGGCATCATGATGTGGGAAATGTGGTACGGTAAAGAAATATTTACCGACCTTATTGAGAACGGTGAAGAAATCCCTCCTCCGACAGAGGTCAAAGGTTATCTATCTAGATGCCCCGTAGGAGACGGCAGCTTCGCTCCTCCAGCAGAGTGGACCAATCTTATGATATCTTGCTGCAATCCTGATCCAGACCAGAGACCAACAGCGACAGAATGTAAAGAGTTACTGGTGAAAATTACTCGAAAATACGAAAAGTAAGAAAATCAGAGAATTGCAGTCATATTTTGCTCCTACCTTTACACTTGAAATCAGTTGTTACAAAAATTAATTTAAAAATAACATTTGTTTAAAGGCAACCATTCTATACAAATGTAATTACACTTTTACTGTTTACAGAGAGCTTTTTTGAACACTCATAGGCTTGCATATGTTAGTGTTATTTAAATGAAAGTTACCTATCCTCGGCTATGACTACTAGGTAAAATTTATGTTATAGAGGTTATTCTAATTAGAAGGTACCAAGGAGAAACTCTTTGCATCCTTTTATGCCGCCAAGTTGTGACTAGCACTCATTACCCGTCATTCAGATGAGCAATTTTCCTCTATTTCAATCTGTCTTAAGATTGATCCCTGAATTAAACTCGACACACAGTGGATATTAGAAAGGAAAAATCGACCAGCTCCCACTTAATAAAGGATCCGCGTGTCCTTAATTAGCTGAAATCAATTTGGCTATTATTGCGTCGCCTGTCATAACCTTTTCGTTAACTAATGAGTTATTATTGCAGAATATTAGGTAATTGTTAGCTCCCTTGATCATTGTGAGGTTTGGCGAAAGTATTAATTGCTTCCACGACTATGTGTAGGCTACTTTGTTTATACTGACCCACTCGCTTTTACGTCAACGCTAAACAGTTTGATCAACAGGATGGTATTTTAAACTGAAATGGGGGGGCCTAGCCAGTTTCGGCGTACAGTTGTTAAAAGGAATGGTGTTGTATCGAGTTCGATTTTCTTCTTTGCCTTCAGAAGGAGGAGAGGGGACCAAAAGCAGAGAAAATGAAGTATTGTAAATCTATTTTTTAGATTTTTCGAGTGAATAGCTTTAGTTTTCTGTGATCTTTTTCAGATTAAGTATTTCAATTTTAAATAAGTTTCTTAGAATGAGGTGTTTTAAACAGATTTCATTATTCTAATTTTCATTAATTAAACGAGGAATAGGACTCTAAACACATTGATCTATACTAAGACC